ATATATATATATATATATATATATATATATATGGAACAAGTTAAACACATGTACAACAAAGTCTTCACACTATAGAGATTACACGCATAGCATAAACACTATTTATATATAGTTCTCTTCATCTTGTCAAAAATCCACTGAGGCCTATTCAATTACTTTAGAATTTCAGTTGACAAGTCGAACTATCTTCTCTATATTACTGTCGTACTATATTCTGTGTGTGATTCACTTACAGTTGTGGTGCAAGTTATTGTAATTTGTTTGGTCTTCTTTCTTCTGAAGATCCTCTGTCAAAGTGCACCCAGGCTGATTCAATTACTTTAGAACCACGCTTTAACAGAATAAAATTATCTTTCTTATCGTTTTTTATACTGTTACTTTCACTGTAACATATTAAACATTAGGCCTATCATCTTTGCAGTACTTAACTTCACACAACTATATTCTCTTTTCTTTTATGTGTCTAATACTGTCTTTCCGTTGCTTCCCGCTCGTCTCACACTATTTATATCTTTATTACATTGTCGTCTGTCCACTTTCTATATTTTCAACACCTATTAGTTATTAACAAAACCTTCTATAATCGTCTGCTTTTAACTCTTAATATAACAAAACTTCAAAATAATAAAATATTCACTCGCAAAAATAAATTAGTCACTAATATTTAAAACCAAACAGTCTTTTATATCACGACAAACTGGATAGTTTAAAGAAGTCTTGATACTAAGAATTTCACTAAATAACAATAAGGATATTATTATCAATCAGATTTTTAAAAATGTTCAATGTAACAGTAATTAAAAGAGTAAATTCTATGGCAACTTAACTTTTAAAAGTCCATTATTAACTTGTAACTTGACCTTCGCTAACATGGAGCTGAAGTTTAACTTGTAACCTGACACAGGCTAATATGGAGCCAAAGCTTAACTGTAACCTGATTCAGGCTATCATGGAATCAATATTTAACTTGTGACCTGACACAGGCTAATATGGAGTTGATGTTTAACTGTAACCTGATTCCAGCTATCATGGAATCAATACTTAACTTGTAGAGTGACACAGGCTAATATGGAGTTGATGTTTAACTGTAACTTGATTCCAGCTATCATGGAATCAATACTTAACTTGTAACCTGACACAGGCTAATATGGAGTTGATGCTTAACTGTAACCTGATTCAGGCTATCATGGAATCAATACTTAACTTGTAACCTGACACAGGCTAATATGGAGCCAAAGCTTAACTGTAACCTGATTCAGGCTATCA